TTGGAAACTAATGAGATGTCTAGACATACTGTGAGCAGATAACATATTTTATGGCGATATTTTACTTAATTCAATTTGTGGTATACCATATTAATAATAATACCTAATTAAATTATTATTGTTATTCCTTTGTATTTATGGACAAAAGTATTCAACGATGTTATTAATAAAATCTACCTATAGGAATACCTAGTACAGGTAGTCAGAAATGTATAGATAATGTCTACCTGGGCAAATAAATATACTGAGATAAGCAGAATGCTAACATATTTTTCGTTTGAAAGGTGATAGACATGGCGGCGAAATTACAGGGTACAGAGCCACAGGCGTCACATTATGACATAATATACCTATATAATATATATGTATATAGGCGACGGTTTATATTTACTACTAGCTGTTCCCGCGAATTCGACCGCGTGTAATTTAATTTAATTTTTCTAAAATAAAAGTAGCCTAAGTTACTCCTTATTACATCAGCTACCTACCAAAAAAAAGTTCCGTCAAAATCGGTCCAGCCATTTCAGAGATTTGCCGGAATAAACAGACCGACAGACAGACAGACAAAAATAGTAAAAAGTGTTACTTTGGTATATACGGTACATATATATATTTTATATTCATATGCATGTAGTAAAAAACGGTTATTGCAATATTACAAACAGACATTCAATTTTATTTATATGTATAGATTATTATGTAATATTGTCTGTGCTATTATTATGTTCTGTCTGCTTGTTTGCCATCTAGGTCCGGTATAGATTTTTTCATTTTATGTAATGCAATTATTAAATTAAATTATATAAAAGAAAAATTTAGACCTATTTTACTAATAACATCTTTCATCACAGGAATTTTTAAACAAAGAGCAAGCAAAGGCAAATATCCAATAATATTTCTAAAGACGTTATAGAAACGTCCAATAAAAAGCTTTTCTTAAATACCGAAAAACTTTTTCACTACAATGATACTTTCACCTTTTTTTACGCAAGATCTTGTTACATACTTTTAAAATACCGTATAAAATATTTAATAGCTATATTTAAGCTATTACTTGTTTTTAATTTATGAGTACCTAAGTTTATTTTTAATCACTGATTTATTAATTATGCACACATGACATTATATTATTCTCTACGAATTTATTATGAAATGATCCCACTAATAATATAAATGTGAAAGTTTGTTACTCAATCACGATTAAACGGTTGTTTGAATTGGAATTAAATTTGGCATATAAATAGATCATATCTTAGATATAACACATAGGATGCTTTTTACCTGAATTGACGGAGACACCTGTGTTAAATCTAATATTACTTATGCGCATAGAAAACATTGTAATGAGCATTCTTATATCTTACAAATGAGTTACACTACTATCAAGTACTATATAAAAAAGAATTATATATACTTATATATATAGTACCTAGTTTATCTTTATATATATTACAACTACCCACCCGGCTTCGCTCCGGTGTATATGTGTTTTACATATAAACCTTCCTTTTGAATTACTCTAAATATTGCTAAAAATGCATTAAAATTCGTTGCATAGTTCAAAAGATCTAAGTGAGCAGACAGCATAAGCGACTGTGTTTTATACTATGTAAAGATGAACCTGTCCAGTTAATTATAAAGTATTGATTATCAAGAACTTCAAAGTTTGGAACGATTACACACCACTGATTTCTGGAGACATTTGCGATGATAAACAGTCACTACCAGTAATCTGGGTCGTTAATTTAATTTTAGATCAAACGTAGTTTTTGGCGGCGAAAGTGATTTTGGTTTTACATGAACCGACATACGTCAACTTCTTTGCTGACATAAAACGAATTCGAAAAAATTAAAACATAAATATAAAATTTATTTATAAACATACTAGTTTTATTATATGGTCCCAGTAACTTTAGTAAATTTGGTATTGTACATTAAGAGTAGATATTTGGTTAAATATTATAATAAAAATTTGGTTTTAGCTGTTTAATATTATAATTATTTTGCACAGAGGTTTACGTTTTCTATTTGATATAAGCACCTGTAAATTACAAGCAGCATGCATCTAAGTAAATTATTTTCTATTTGAAAAAGATAAGATAAAATACCCGACACATGTATAAACAAGTCAAGTAAGATAAGCATGCCTGAAATGATGAGGTGTTAAGAAAGAGTAAAGATAATATACAAAAACTATATATATATAACTATTGGTATATATAGGTACTAGCTGACTCGGCAAACGTTTAATGCCGAAACATATAAAAAAATATTATAACATTCCAATAAAATTAAAAAACAAATGGGATGGACTACCCTTATCACTTATAGCTATGAAAAGTACTTTACGTTATATTCTCACAACTACTACTGAATATACACATAAAAATTCATAAGACCAACCCAGCCGGAGGAGCTTTATTACAGACAATGTGACACGTGAATTCTATATATAACATAAATAAATTCAGAAACTATTTCATAACAAATATATAATAAGTTCATATATAATCTATAAATATTAAAATTACTTTTTGACCTATTTTTTTAAATAGGTGTACATAATAAAAGGGTACAGAAGTAACTACGATTAAAAAAGGGTGTATAATGATAATGACTATTGATTGGTGTCTATAACGATGAAATGTATGCCATGGCACGCAGTAACCCACTAAAGCGTGATAGGCGATGTGTATCGATGACTCGGTGTGTGTTGTACCAGAAACAACCCAAGTAAGGTCATTACTATTCATGGTGTAAAGGGGTCAGCTGTCGGCTTCGATTTCCATTGTCTTGAATCCTTCTTTACTGATTTCAGATTCAGGACACACCGTGACATCTGATGAACATGCTGACACTAGCTTTGCTTTCTTTATTTTCAACTTTTACACTTAAAAAGCAATTAGATTACATCTATCTATAAGTTTTCACTTTAAAATGTTTATATTTCATTAAATATGAACATTTTTAGTGGAAAGTTCATGTTCACGTGATTGATTTATTAACAGTGGTTCTAAAATAATATAATAATAATATTCATATTTACAGAATATTTATCAAATAATTACCTACATACTTTTGTAAAGAGTTCTCTGTGTGGGCAACTAAGTCTCACTAATATCAGGCGTCAAGCAATTTGCGTTCTAAGCTATGTTTCGGTGGAACGGTAAGTTAAATTACAGGATTTAGAGGCATAACATCTTAGTGCTCTAGAATCCAGAATAGCGACGTATGAGTGGTATCACGGGGACACTAGATTACGTCATGTAGATGTGATGCTGTTCATATATTATATAGATATAGGTGATGATTACAATTTACCATCAGGCTTGCCGTCAGCTTCTATACTATTCCAATTACGTAAAAAACATTGGATAAAATTCAGTTTTTCTTCAGTTTCATTAGTAGTTACTATGATTTTGTGTTGGTATAACCCATAGATATTTATCTGTTGTACTGCCACTATAACTAATCTTATATTTTGGAAATAAATAGGTCAACAAATGACAAAAATCCATAAAATGTATATTTTTTTATTCTAAATCTGATTTTTTAACCTGATTTTCGGATTCTAGAATTTTAATACCTTGTACTTTCTCTAATGGAGATGTAAGAATTGAATACCCGGGTTAGGGTTGCTAGGTCATTGCCCTCTGCCGTATTTTCATATGTCTGATGTGTTTTCCGTCAGTCATTTGTCTTCCCAGCTTTATTCCGTCTCTCCGAGCTGTCATTTTTGTATCAGACGTAGTTCATAGTATCCCAAAAATATATATATTTTACGTTTCAGCAGATGGTTAAAATAAAAGTTCCGAAGTTCAGAGAAACTTGAATCTAAAACTTAGATAGATAATATATAGATAATCAAAAACTTTAGATAGAGTTAATCGGCTTATCTATTTGTCCAAAAGTGTGTCGATATCTTATACATTTTCACTTATATTAGGAAACAATGCTGCTTCTGTCTATTCCATGTTCTTGGTGGCCAGTATAATTGGTAAAAGTGAACCTTTCCTTTGTGTATCGTCAATAAGAAAGGCAAATATAAGAGTAACCGTATTTCAGTTCTGAATCATAGCAACAGTACCTAAATAGTAGGGCTTTTCTAATTTCCAATTGGCATAGTGAACCTAACTATAAATGCGTGTTTATTAGTTTATCGCATTAGCGTTTGATTTCCATTTTGTCTTAGTTAATACAATATTACGTAAATAGAAAGTTTATGCATCAACTATTATTACGAAACTATCGACGTCTATTAAAGTAGTTTTTTAAGTCTACAACGTCAACTACTCAGTATATTTGTATACTGCCTAAATTTTAAATATTGTAATTAGTTATTTTATATTCATAACATGTACATTTTATACCTTGTTTTCTCCAAAATATATGCAAAATAAAAATGGTTATAGAACAAAGTATTGCAACCAATACTTTGTTCCACATTTCCTTGTATTTTTTTATGAACATTTATTTTTATATGAAAAAACGTTTTAACAAATGTTTAAACTATATTTTATGGATAATAGAAGTATAAATGGGGTCAGATCATATTTATAAGGAGGTATCAGAATAACTTTATTTTACTTTCATTTAGTTTAGTTCATATAAACAACCGTTAAATAACGAACGATTTATTCAAATTCATTAACGTTTCCTTACACTTTAAATAACAAACACATTAATGCAGCCTCCAAAGAAACCTCCATCTTTTTCACTCTGCAGGAATTCAAATTATTTAACCTTATCGGCATGGCACAGGTAAAACCAGTATTAATCTATAGAAGTGTATATACTTGAGTTTGTTAGTAATTTTAATGGTATGAGGGACAGTTTTCATTTGGTGGTTTATACGAGTACCAGTGACGACAGTAGTTGTTGTCTCTTTTACGCTGCAGTATTACTTATCTATCTATCGCATATCCCCCCCTCTCACAACGTGGTAGTTACTGCGATGCTTGTAGGTACTTTATACTCTAACAGTCGACGGCGAACCGCCGCTTACGTTGTTTATTGGCAGCGTTCGAAGATACAATATTAGCTAGAAATTAATCGATGACATAAAATTAATCAAATGGGAAAAACTTAAATTAAAATGTTATCAAAAATATAAATACTTAAATTTTAAGAAAATACAGCATGTGTACATGCTCGTTGTTGTAAATAATTGATTCATCTAGAAGACCGCAAAAGTTTTCGTGTTTGTTTCGTGAAGTGTTTTGTGAAGATTCGACAACTCAAGTGTTAGATGACAGTAGTCACTAAGTTAAATGAAGCGAGATTGTATCTGAACCCGAAGAGGATTTGATGCCGTCAACGAATAAGGTATGGAAAACCGGATATTATACTAGTATCTAGATAGCCGTCTGACTAGTTTCAGCGCTTGTAATTGTAGACACATCGAAACCTTTTATAAAGAATCTTTAGATTTTTTTGAAGCGCTTTCTAAAAATGTACCAAAATTCCTTTGAAAAATTCTCCGATTCTTCAAAGGTTTGGTCACGCAAGGCTTATATATATGTAGTTAGGTAGATAAACATTGCTTCCAATGTGGTAATATCACCCTCAAATGACGCCATGCCAGGTGCGCTGTCAACAGGTGGAAGATATTTTTACGTTCTTATAAGTTGTTTACAATTTTCATTAGAGCTTAAAACTATACAAAATAAGAACAAGAAAGTCACGAGAAGAAACTTAAAAATAAGTCCAATGATTCTGGATGCATTACACTTGTAATCAGTGGGTACAGAAAGTAATATATTTTCATCTGATTATAACTAAATTATTTAAAAAGCGTCGTTCAGTAATCGTCTGTAAGACCTAAGAATTTGAATATTATCCTAGATTTATAAATCATCGTTATTAAATTTTTAAATATGGTTCAGAAATTTAAAATAATAAGTAAATTTATAAAATTAATACCTACCTAGCTAGGAAGTAAAGATTGGTAAGTGCTTATTTGTTTCATATTATTGTTTTATTTAGTAATTTGATTATTATAGTCTTTATTTAAGAGTGCACCTTCACGGACACGTTATTTGCACAAAATATTTTTGATAAGTAGTAGTCTACCTTGAATCAATTATAGCGAGAGCAATGTGTCATCGACATCGTCAAAGTAAACCTCGATGGGGCCTTTTCTTGCGACCTGTCTTTGAAGCAGGTAGTTGAGCGGAGACCTTTCGTATAATTTTTTGTCTTTGGACCTTTGTTTTGTGGTGGGGCTTGAATGGCGGCGACCGCTTAACATCGTGCGAAGATTTGTTTGCAAGCCACTTGTTGTTTTCACAGGTAGTTTTAAAGTTCCTTTGTTGTTATTAATCGACATGACTCTATGACCTCTATTTTCCTTTGTAGTATTAGAGACAAATATAATTTTGATTATTAGTCTTTTTGTGTGTCCTCTATAGCTCACTAACTTTTTGAAAAATAGTGTGTTTGATTTAAATCGCCCTTTATACCCACACCTACTGTCCAAAAGATTTCTCTAAAAGAATTTTGTTTTACAATTCTATGCCAGAAATTTGAATATAAATATAAATCATTTTTTCTTCTATTCATCTTACTATATAACTTATTCCAGAGTAGGCAACTATTCGACCTTAAGTACAAGAAACATTCCAAAAAGTCTACTTTCTTTTTCAAGTTTTTTTGTTGTCTCAATACTTTTATCCAACGTCTGATGTTTGCCGTCAGATAATCTGGTATATAAAAGAAATAAATTAATTACAGAGATGCGAGGATTCTTTTCAACGAAGGGTGCAATTATATTTAAATGATGATGGCCTATTATTATTACATCTGTCTTTTATAGTTGATAAAGGTCCAAAAATATGTTATGAAATATAGCTACACATTTTTCTTTGTAATTTAAGTAGGTAGATGTATTGAAATTAGTAATAAATATAGTTTCATAATACATGTAATGGTATATGCATATGAGGGACATCCCTCTGGTCACGCAGGCAGACCTTATTATTGATTACCCCGTAATTTGTGAGATCACTGAGACTATGATCTAAAGATATGAAGAACTTTATTTGAAAATTACAGATGTTCCTATTAACTTCTTTAGCAGCGTGCTTCTCTTTGACATTTAACTCTTGGCAAATTGCAAATATTGCGGAGCGTGAAAGGAATATTGGAATGCAACACAACGAACGTATTGAATCGCCTGTAATGGCACAACAAGCTTTATCTGGATATTGATCTATAAAACTTAATTTCATCTTACTTCCAGTACCAATTTTCAATGACGTTACGGTCTAAATCCTCATTCTATATTGATGTCTTTCTCTGTTCATCTATATTATTTTATTTTATCTTACTGTGCCGTCTTGCTGTTGGAAAAAAATGTCTAACCATTCCTTTATCTCATGGGCTGATATAGTGCATGGGGACAATAGTGAAATATGTGCCCATATGCATTTGGTGAAGATCTTATGGCTCATCAGATTAATCTAACCCGTTTAAGTCTACAGCGTACCTATATAGTACATATATATTGTACTAGTATAAACAAGTAATTATTGAGGCAAGTCTTTCAACAGGCAAAATAAAAATGTTAGGAAATATATGACGACTTTTATATTTATACCTATAGTATGTGTATATTCATGTGTTCTGGTATTATTTTCTTTAATAATTAAAGTGTGTGACTTCTAACAATTATTGAACATATTTAGTTTTATATATGATGACAAAATTTTGTTTTTGAAGGACATGATATAGACTTTTATTCTAAGTAAAAGATGATTATTACAATAACGATATTTTAGAAATATAGTATAATTCCCGCGAGTAGTATGCATGGAGTATAGTAATTATAAATAAAAGAGTACCGACAAGTTGTACTATTACTAATATTAGAAGGAAGAGTTATGCTAGGTACTCAGTTGACCGGTCGATAGGTGCTGCAGGCTGCGGCAATTGCATAACACCTGCATCCACTGCTCAGTTTATCTCAAAAGTACTGATAGTTAGTATACCCTTAAGGTACAAGGCGAGGTTGTTTACGTACAAACATTAAAAGTAGGCCTCATGCTTACATTATATTTGAATACTCGAGATAAGCCTCAATGGCTTTGAAACTATAATTTATGAACGCCGAATGTCAGTTGGTATACTTACCGTTACAGTTGAAATTCTAAGACAAAATGACAATATGAAAGTATTCATAGTAAAGCATTGAAAATTCCAAATCTTTCAAATCTCAAAAGCAGAGTACCAATAAAACAATTTAAAATTAAACCAATTGGTTTATTAGTACCAATAAAAAACAGTTTGGTCTCTGTACACAGATCCTCACTATTTCACTATTATTGACTGCCAAAACTGATGTAAGATCATATGTGGTAGAAAAATAAAATATAATAATATAAACAATATAATAGGTTAAATAGTAATAGATATAGTATGACATGATATCTATGAATACACTTATCTGTTACATAGTTATATATATTATAGTAGTAGTGGTACAGTATAAAATATGTAAGTAGTATTGGAAAAAATATACATTTAGCGTAGCCGAAATGATTTAAGAGTTTCAAAGGAAATGACCAGGCGATGAATCAAAGGTGTTTGATTTCAGGTAATCTTTAATATATGCAATTAACATTTATTTAGGAAAGGCAATAAATTATTAGGTTCAGGTACTGTAGGTATAAATTAATACAATATAATGCAATCGTCGGACTGATTTCAAAGATTGTTATACTAAAATTTATACTAGTTACAGTTACTGTTAGATATTCTATGCTACTGTGCTGCAAGTTAGTGTCGGTATAACCCATGACCTGTAAATGCGGTTTAAACTGAATCTGCTTACCAATTCTCAGTATTATATTAAGTGTAAAGGTGGGGTCGTGGCTACAATAAAGTACCTGTTTGAAGTGAAATAATCTATATGTGGGGTATAGTATTACGGCTAAACGATGTTCAAGATTTACCAACATTTATTAATAAGTAGATTTCACCTGCGGCTTTGTCTGCATAGACTTTTATCCGCTATTTCACGCCTGTAATTATATTTTTCAAAATAAAAGAGCTTGTATGTATCAGGACCAGTTTCATTAAAATCCGTTTAGGTTTTTACTATGGTGAAAAGGAAACAAACGACACTTATATTGCTTGGATGGAAATTACTATTATATTCAGAGATGTTCGATTACCACTTATCAATGTGGGTTTATAGAGAAATGCTTATGTAAGATTTCTGATGAAGATGTAACTATGTAGATACATATGATATATAATACTGTCAATCACACAAGGTATTCTAAATTAAACTTAAATAAATAATGTAAATGTCTTTGTAGGCTACTGTTTTAAAGAACACTAGGTGAATAAGTATTGGTGTCGACTGAATTCGAACTAATACTGACCGTATTCTTATGATTTGAGATAAAAAATCACCAGAGTACGGTGCTCTCTGTATCTCGCTGATCCACTCTTGTATTGATGTATGTAGGTATTTGAATATATCAATACCAAAATGGCTTCTTTGTAGAGGTCGTTGATCCAGTTACGAACTCGCTACGATTACATATCTCTTTTTTAGGCAATTACAAAATGAATTAAAAGCTATTCAAGTAATGAATTTTAATTTATAATAATAAAGATTAATAAGTTTATGCTTTTATTTATAATATTAACTAAATGTTAGGTAATTATTAGAATATTGAATTTTTATGTTAATAATTAAAAAGGCATAATACTGTAAGTAAAGGTTCCACTAAGTTTCACTTATGAAACTTAGTGGAACCCTAATTTGAGTTTCATGTAATTTTATTTGTCAGTTTTATTGTCACATAGGTGTATTACTAGAAAATTTCCCCATCCATCGCCTACAAATTGTGTTTTATGGCGTAACTTAAGAGAATCTATTATCAGTTAACTCAATATAATTTAGATAATATTTAAAATAGAATCCCTTTTCATAACTTATTTCGAATGAATTCTCGCACAAATAAATCATTGTGTAATGTCTTAATTTTGTTTTTTAATTTTAAAATATGTATTGTTAAATACAAAGTTGACCCATGAATATCATCCATCAGATAATTTCTAAAATAGCAAAGGACCTTCTTATCTATCGTATTCGTGATATTTATTTCAGTTTATATTACAGGTAGATCTAAATAACAATAATCTATTCTGTAATAAAAATCAACAGAGAATTAGTGTCGGTAAATTTTTACATACTTAAGTTTAAAAAGTTTGTACCTATATGAGTCGTGAAATGAAACGACACGGAATACAAAATTAATTTTTATATTACCTTTATGTTGACAGTATGTTGTCTCTAATTATATATTCTTATT